CTTAATTAGCTGTCATGAATTTTCTTGCTAGTTACTACTGTCGGATATATGCAAAGTATTTTATGGTTGCAATGATCTTTATGGTTGCAATGATCTTTTCAGGACTACATTCTATTATATTGCACAAACATCATGCTAAAACTTCAATTACAGCAGAAACTTCAATTACAACAGAAACTCCAAACATTGGCAACAAACAACATCAAAAACTAAAAATGAACTCCAATTACAGCAGAAACTAAAAATGAACTCCATTCAATTGTCAACAAACAACATCAATTTCATAATAGCTTACTCACTTCAAACAACAACAGCAACCAATAAGACTGATCAGTAAAGCTGCTAAAACATACACAACTGTAGTCAGCCTAGCATTTTCATCCCTAGTCTTGACCAACTCTGAATATAGCACTTGTTTTTCCTTCTTCCTTCGTTCTGCCTTAGCTTCTACCACCTTCAATCTCTCTTCCAACATAGCAACGAGCTTCATCTTCGAATCGTCGTCCATCGACGATAAACGATCAACCCATAGAAAAAACCTATAACTCTTATCATTGTTCTTCCAATACGGACAACAGTAAAACTCCCTCCCTGGATTAGAGCCGGTACATTGCATCTGCACTTCACTACATATGAGTTGGCTGAGCTTGATTCTGCTTTGCTATGGTTAGATTTTCGCCCAGACATGGTTGTGATGGTCACCAAACCAACTGTTATAAAAAATTAGGGTTTCATTCGCACCACAATTGAAAAAAATACGTAACATAAAGTTGAATCTTATGGAATGGGTTGTAATCAAACTAATTTTGACTTACTTACCCTTAGTTATGACCACTCTTCCACCCTTCAACTGACCTGCTTCGTCTTCCCTTCTGTGGCGCCGTCCCGTCCAACTAACCTGCTTCGTCTTCCTCTTCCACCCTTCCAAAGCTCGACCGCAAAAGCCTTACAGCAACGGCCGCCTTCCTAAGCTCCAGCGTCGCCGCCGTCCAGAGCTTCGCCAATCACCGCCGCCGTCGTCGTTTGGAAAGAAAGTGCAGGAAAGAACCGCCGCCGCCGCCGTCCGTCGAGCTTGGGGGATAGAGGCCCGATGTTGTAAAAGGATAGGGTGAGTTGGGGTTAAAAATAGGGGTTGGGGTTAATAGAATAATAAATAATTAATAAATAATATTTTTTTAAAAATTTAAGTATTTTTTTTCAACGTGGCATCTTCGTGTCGCATACGTGGACACAAAGAGGGCCACCGTCAGGTCAACCGTCAGTTTTAACGGTCAACATAAATTCGGGTAACACAAATGGCACAAACTCCTAAAAGATTGGAATATTTTTGTGTTTATTGAAAGCATGTAGTATAAATGGCACTCTCTCTAAAGGATGGTATTTCCAGTAGTATTAACCCTTTTAAAATCTACTTTAAAATAATATAATTACTTACTTTTCACTCTATTTGCACCCCCCTATTTTTTCATCCAAATAACAATTTGCTCCTCCACTTACAACCCCAGCAATTTGCACCCTTAGCAATTTACCCCTCAACTTGCACCCCCCTTGTTGCCAAACAGAGCTAGTAAATTTGACAGCGATAAATCAATTTTCTTTGCCTCCTACGTAGAGCACAGATGGGCATTTGGGTCAAAAAAATTATTAATTCACATGGCCACGTAGAGCAAATATGGAATGACGCTATTGTGGGTTTTACTTTAATTGTTAATTCACAAGAGGGTGCAAGTTGAGGGGTAAATTGCTGGGGGTGCAAATTGCTGGGGTTGTAAATGGAGGGGTAAATTGTTATTTGGATGAAAAAGTAGGGGGGTGCAAATAGAGTGAAAAGTAAGTAATTATATTATTTTAAAGTAGATTTTAAAATTTTAAAATAGATTTTAAGATTATAAAATAGATTTTAAGATTTTAAATTTATCATAGAATAATAAAATAATATTACTATATAATAATAAATATACTTTACTAAAAATAGTTATTATATAATAATGCTCAAATAATAATTAATTATAACAATTGTAATAATCATTGATCGAGCGATCTCAAAACTCGAAGCTCAACTCGTAACTGGTCATCCTATATAGGGTATTCGTGTCTAGTTTAATCTTAAATTGTCAAACTTAGTCAAACACGTTCGAATTTGTAAGTTTTAACTATTTAGTCAAATAAACTGAGTTAACAAAACAATTTCTCTCTATCTTTTCCACAAACACCTCGTATCTCTAATTTTCAATGCAAATTCGATTCAACCAAGAGATCTAGATTTGACTTGACGAACATTGATAAACTTGTTTTTAGAGTCAAATGGTCAACCCCGAATAATGTTTACATTAATGATATTTATAAAAAAGAAGAAATTGATAATATTAATTATTATATAATTATATATAACACAATTAGAAAAATAAAATTCCATAATTCCCCCCTCCCCCTCTCTTCCTTCCTTCCCTTGCACCCCAATTCGGGGGTAAGCCGAAACAGTAAATTTGCACTCCCGTTTAGCACCCCCCTACTGTTCCAAATTAACCAAACAGGTGCAAATGTGTTGGAAACTGTGTTTACCCCTCACATTTACACCCTCCTCCCATTTACCCCTCTTCCCAAACAGAGTGCTAGTAATTGAACCATGGATAATAAAGTCTCTTTTTGGCTCATGAGAGTACAATTTTATTGTACTTTCTTGGGAGCCAAATGAATTTATGAGAATTGAAAGTAACTCATTTTTTCACTCTAAATTTCAAAATGTCTGACATCTATTTACCTGCTTATTGCACTCTTCACCACGGGATCGTCGGTTTTTCTCTTGGTGGTCGACAATAACTCACCACTATTTTCTAACGTTGCTTTAGTTTCATTTCACTTCTCTAATACCTATGTAGATCTGCCCAGCTTTCAGCTGTAATTTTCCCCAAGTGGAATTTTCCACAATCTCTCTTCGGATATTGTTTCTTCTCCTCATTTTAGCTTTAAGTTTTCATATCTATAGTCTTCCTCCTTGCTTCATTTAGATTAACATAGTAATTCAGTGGATTTGACTAAATATCAACAACTCAGATTATTTCGGTGTGGGCGTAGGGATGATGCTAGCTTGTCGTGAGTGACGTTGTGGCCTTGTGGGTGTTGGCCGTAAAGGAGGCTCAATGGCTTGTTGTTATGCGGGCTAGTGTTGTCGGTGAACAAGCTAGTGGGCTTGTGGTTTGAGCCAACTTTCCCCCTCTTTGCTTGTTTCCTTTGTTTTATTTGGTTATGGGTTGGGCTACGGTGTGGTACTTGGGCTCTCCACTCTTTTTTGGCTAGTATTCTTTCTTCTTTATATCATCATGAAAAGTCATGGAACGACTCTGAACAGTGCGGATCCATAATTCGAATGAGAGGGCAAAAATTTACGCACGGAGAATTCAAATTGGCTAGGGGGATAACGCCTTATCAATTACTATATTTTTTCAATTTATTACAAAATTTACATGTAGTTTTACATGATTTAGAGAGTTAAGGGGGGCTATAATCTCCCATAGAGGTTGCAATTGGATTAGATTCGTGGATTGGTGGATCCATGGATCAAATGGATTGGATCTAATGGATTGGTGGATTCATGGATTGGATCAAATGGATTGGTGGATTGATCCATGAATCCAAATGACATCCAAGGCTTGAACCAAGATGTAAATTTTGAAAAGTTTAGGTACCAAAATGTAATTTTCCAATGATTTTTTCGTATAAAATATAAATTTTAGGTACCAAAATGTAAAATATAAAAAATATAGGTATCAAATCGTAATTTGCCGTTTGGATCCATGGATTGATCCATGAATCCAATTGGATTTGGATCAAATGGATTGGATTAAGTGGATAATTTGGTGGATGGATTGGATTGGATTCATGGATTTGGATCTTAATTGCCACCTCTAATCTCCCCTGCCACTGGCTTTGAACCCCGCAAGGTCACCATCTACTTGGAAAGTGCTATCGGAGAGATAAATTCATCATAACAAAACCATGAAGCGGCTTGGAGGGATCAATGGTTGCACTGAGAATCAAACACACAACCTCTCAATGAATTGTGTTTCGCTTCACCAATGAGGCTAGCCCTCTTTCCCTGACCGTCATTCTCACATGAGAGAAGGGATGGCAATTACCCAACTATATGTGATTTTACCCAAACCCAAGTAGACCCATTGATTATGGATAGAGTATGGGTGAAGTATATATGAGGTTTGTAGATGGGTTTGGGCAGGATTTGGATATTGCTTCCATGATCTACATAGGTATATGTTGGATATGGATACACATTTAGTTGATGGTGTTTTAACTACACATAGAAAAATTGGATATATTTGTAAAACTTAAAATTTTAGGCATCGAAATATAATATTTAAAAAATTTAGGCACTAAAATGTAATTTTTATCAATATTTTGAGGACTGATATGCAAAAAATTAAATTTAGGTACTAAATCTAAAGATCTGTTGAGTTTAGACACCAAACTAGAATTTTTATATGAGTATGGGTATGGAGTATAAACCAAAATCTGTGAATTGAAACTCCAATCCAAATAAATAAATATTGGACAAATCCATCAAACTCTACTAATTCAACATCTATTTAGATTAAATACCAAATCAAATTGGATAACAAAATGAGCAAAATTGTTATTTAGACTATATATAATCCGCTGTTTTTTTTGTGTCATGTTAATTTCGACTTGGATAAATTTGTCCCTAATATTTGGTCTGGAATCAAGGAAGTCAATAGGACGAGTATACGAAGAAGAGCAACGGCCGAGATCCAATAATCAAACCAGAACTCATTCGACGGCTCAGATCAGATTTCCAAGGGTCCAACCCCAGCCAGCCAGGTTCCAATTTCTAAGCCACTCCGCGTAGAACAATCTGATACTGTGAGACGAGGGAAAATTAGAGACCGAAATCCAGAATCCGCCGTGCCCCTACGTTGTGGAACTCATCGGAATATCTATTCTATCTAGGGTTTCGCCGATCAGCCATGTACAGAACCGCAGCTTCTCGCCTCAGGTCTCTTAAGGTCAGTTGAATCTCTATTTCTCTCTTATCAAATACAGCCAAGAATCTGGATCTGTTTGGTCCATTCCTAAACGCAGTTCTCGGCTAACACTATGAACTGCATGATTTGAAGCTTTATCGCCCCTTGATTTTTGACGAATCGTGTTGATGTGGAACCACTAAGTTACGATTGTTTCAATTTGAGATCTTTCCGCCAGTTCAGCGGAATCCCTGTGGCGTGTCCTGTTTGGTTGCTGAGAAAATGTGATAAGCAGTAGATATTGGTGGAGGGGGGAAGCCCGTCAGTAACTCATTCGTTGGAACAAATTCATACTTGGGTTGGTTTAGAAACTGTTGACATGGTTGATTAACTTGGTAGAAAAATTCTTATTATGCATGGAGTATGGAGCGAAAATGATGGAACTTTTTACATCTATGATTGTAGAAGATGACTTTTGTTAGTAGAGGATCACTTTAATATATATATAATATATATAAGCAATGTTGATGTTCTATTTGCATCATATTGTGCATGAAATATGGGTGAAAATGATGGAACTTTTTGCCTATGTATTCTGTCGAACTGTGTAAATAGGGGCGTGCAAGCAGCAGGTTCCCTGTAAGCACTGTGTCACCTGCAAGATTCGCCAGCTCGGGTGCTGCCGTATTGCAGTCATCCTCTTCAGGGGGGATCTTAAGCTGGTTTACTGGTGGGAATTCCAACTCTTCAGTGCCTCTCAACTTTCAGTTTCCAGGGGTCGAGCTCCCACCATCCCTGCCTGATCTTGTTGAGCCGGGGAAAACCAAGATTACTACGCTCCCCAATGGTGTCAAAATTGCATCTGAATCATCTTCGGTATTTGTGCACTTCAAACTCCTCTTTGTGGGATAAACTTTGCCATCCCACCCCTGCTCACTCCAACTATTTACTTTATTATCTCTGCTGTGTGCTAGAACCCTGCTGCATCAATAGGCCTATACATTGATTGCGGTTCAATCTATGAGTCACCAGCCACATTTGGAACCACACATCTGTTAGAGAAAATGGCCTTCAAAAGTACAAGAAATCGCAGCCATTTGCGAGTTGTGCGAGAAGTGGAAGCAGTTGGCGGTGTTGTACAAGCCTCAGCATCTCGGGAGCAAATGGGGTATACTTTTGATGCTCTAAAGACCTATGTACCCGAGATGGTGGAGTTGCTAGTTGATATTGTAAGGAATCCTGTCTTCCTAGATTGGGAGGTCAATGAACAGGTAATCTTCATCTTCTGTTTCCCATCTTTTCGGATTCTTATATTTTATCTTGTAATCTTAGCAATTATTTGCCTTGCACCCCAGCTTCTGAAGGTCAAGTCTGAGATAAGTGAAGCTTCTAACAATCCCCATGGCTTACTGTTGGAGGCCATTCACTCTGCTGGGTTTTCTGGTGCACTGGCAAATCCTCTTTTAGCTCCTGAATCGGCTATTAATAGGTTGAATGGTACTCTGTTGGAGGAATTTGTGGCTGTAAGTCTTACGTTTATCCTCCCCTACCAAGTGAAATAGTTTCTTGCGTCCTCAACCAGATCATGTTATTAAATTGTATATTTTTTAAACCTCTAGGAAAATTACACTGCCCCTCGGATGGTGCTTGCAGCTTCTGGTGTTGAGCACGAGGAACTAGTATCCATTGCTGAGCCTCTTTTCTCTGACCTGTCACAAGTTCCAAAACCTGCCGAGCCTCAATCTGTTTATACTGGAGGTGATTACCGTTGTCAAGGAGAGTCAGGGGTATGATTCACGGATATATGTCAACATCCTTTCACCCTAGGTAATCCATCCATGTAAAGTGTATGACCTTGGACAATTTTCCTTTTTCTCACTGCAGGATATGGTGACCCATTTTGCTCTCGCGTTCGAACTCCCCGGTGGCTGGCATCAGGATAAGGATGCAATGTGCTTGACTGTTCTTCAGGTTCGTGATCTTTTGATGCTTGCTTCTTTTACTTTTATTTCTCTTAAGTCTTAACCTTAAGAATAATATACAAGATTGTTGAGGTGCGGTGAATATCCAAGGTTGTGCCTGTTTCTGTTTGTCTACTTGGATAATATTTATTTGATTGTTTCAATTATCACGTTATCTGAGTACCAAGTTGAAGGCAACAATAAAGTGTTGCTTCAATGTTTGGCAGATGCTTATGGGAGGTGGTGGATCATTCTCCACTGGCGGCCCTGGAAAAGGAATGTACTCTAGGCTTTGTAAGTTTCTATCATGCCTCCTTGACGGCCCTAGACCATTCTAGGAATCTTGTTACTATTTATTGTTTTACTTCTTTGGTGACACTCTGTTGGTAATAAATATTTTATTTGATGATATCTTGAGCAGATCTTAACGTCTTAAATCAGTACCCACAAATTCAGTCATTTTCGGCATTCAACAATATTTACAACAGAACTGCCTTATTTGGTATCCAAGCAACCACTGTAAGAATGCCGTTATCTATTCTAAAAGCTATCAGCCTCTCTGTTCCTACTTTCTTCTTTTTTCGCTGTGAAAGAATGTGTATCTTTTGTTTGAAGTTCTGCCGGTAGACATGTTGCTCCTAAAAACTTGTTTTCTTCCTGAATGCAGACTTCAAATTTTGCAGCCAAAGCGATTGATATAGCCGCTAGTGAACTTCTTGCTGTTGCTAAGCATGGTGAATGTTTGCTACCTTTCTTATATAGACTGTTATACTTGTAGCTGTATGGAATCCTGACTGGTAATTGACATGGTTTCTCCTCCTGCTTCCTCTAGTTGATCCCGTGCAATTGGCTCGTGCCAAGCAGGCTACAAAATCTGCCATTTTGATGAATTTAGAATCCAGAGTATGTGGATATATCATGGCATGTTTACAATTGACCATGGTTTATAATTTTCGGAATCTTATTTCTTTTTTGTGTTTCCCAGATGGTTGCTTCCGAAGACATTGGTAGACAAATTTTGACATATAGTGAGAGGTACCGTATAACACTTTTTTTTAATGTTCAATAAAAAGGGTAGCATAACATAAGCTAGTGGAAAAAATATGTTCCTTTCCGTTTACTAGTATTGCATGCATATTTTTATTTTGGTGTGTCCGCTCAATCTGTGGTCATTGTTAAAACAAGAGGTTTACTTATAGTTGGATTTCTTCTATCGTGGAAGAGTTCAGGTTCTCTCTCTGGAATGATTCACTTTTATCTTTACCGTTCAGTGGCTGTGATATGCCACCGGCTTTACTGAACAAGAACATGGTTAGGACAAATACAGAAATAACATATATTGCACGTGCTGGCCGTTTTGCTTGTTGATCACTTCTTTCATATGGAACGTGGGTTGTTTTGTTAATTGTATGGGTAACGCTGAATGGATGGATGGCTATTCAGCTACTGCTGTGTATATATTTGAGGTCTGAAGGACTATGTTAGGAGAGGGAATGCGTCTAAGCAGTGCTACTATTAGAAATAGTTATTGAGAACTTTGATTTGGGAAGCAGTTTTGGAAACTTTGATTTAAAAGCAACAGTATTTAGTTTGTGATCTCAACTCTAAATGCTTCTTGATCTTATTTTGGGTCTTTCTCAAGTACTTGGCTTATGTGAGTGATGTTTCTGCAGGTTCAATAAGTTGGAAAGCTTACACATTTTTTGTTATTTGCACTTTTAGCTATATCTTTAAGGGCTGAATATGAATGTGCTCGCTGACGACATGATTAATGAATTTACTTATATTTCACTGGGAGACTTTTCACAAATGAATTCATATTATCCGTAATCTTCACATCCATATTTCTATCCGATGAATTTGTTTGGTTATTCGTTTAACAGTTCTATTCAATATTTCTTTTCTTCTAGGAAACCGGTGGAGCATTTCCTGAAAGCCATAGATGCAGTTACAGAGCAGGATGCTGCCAAGCTTGCACAAAAGCTCATTTCTTCCCCTCTTACGATGGCATCCTATGGAGATGGTAAAATACCCACTTACTGAGAAACCCTACATGCTAGTACTGGTTTTGATTAATCCGTCATCAATCAATTGAATCGATTGTGTTTCCAATGATATCCTGCAGTTATCAACGTTCCAACCTACGATTCAGTCAGCAGCAAGTTCAAATCAAAATGAAGTTATCCTTGACGAGAGTGTTGGAATCTATTTATGCATCCAAGCTTTGCTTCTTAATGACATAGGAGCTTATTGCTGTTGCTGAAATAAGTAGATACCTATATGAAAGAAACCCATTTTTTTAAAAAATAAAACTTCAGAGGTGCTTGCCCAGCCAGCAGTTTTACATTCCCAACTGGATTTCCCTTTACGAAAGTGTAATATAGACAGTACCTTCCAGTTTCATGTCGTTCAGATTCACCAAGAGAACTTCCTACTGGTTTCTTTTGGTAGCCAGAGCAAGTTGAAACCTGAATGATTGTTTTCTTGGATGTTTCATTGGTCCAAAAACAGTGTGGGAAAAACAATCAATTGGAGGCCTGGTATGTACTCCATCAGTCCGCTTGCCGTCTGTACCAAGTTTTCTTGGTGTGAAATCCGCCAGGTGAAAGTCCACTTTTATTGGTAAAGGTCTCCTGCCACTACTTTCCTCTGCACGCCCAGAATGCTTGTTCGTTGTTGGATGAAAGCCCTGCAGTTTCGTAACCATCCGCGTACAAGCTCATCGTCTGATAGCTATCAAAATGTCACATCCCACATCCAACGACTCAAGCATGTTATGTCGCGAACGAAAGGGCAGAGCCTGCAACCATAATCTCTGATGGCTAGCAAGACGCGAGGCCGGTTCCTACGAGTGTGTGCAAAGGTAAGGCCGAAAGGTGCTCCGTGTACTCTGTAGCTTGAAAGCACTGGCTAGATTGTAGAGCAAGACATGCATCCACCCTTACCAAATGGTGAAAGGGACGGCTTAGAAAGGATTTCGGTGATGTACTATGTACATGAATTCTCCATCTACCAATCGACAGAAGGGAAACCCTTGATGTCAAAAAGGGAGAAAAAGAAGATAAGAGGTGAAAACGATTGAAAGGAGGGAATTCAGGCCGTGCATGAAAGAAGGTCAAGAACAGGAAGCTAGGCTGGAGTGAAAGAGAAGCAATGGGCCAGGATTAGATAGACCTAACAAAAACATTAGTAAGCAAAAGGAGTCTTACCCATTTTTTCCTCTCTCTCAATTAAGCTCCCCTGTTTAGTGTTTGTTTATTGAGGCTTTGCTTTTTCAGGTCTTTTTGTCTTTTGTTCTCTTTGCTTGCAATTTGCAGCCACAATCTATGCAGCAGTTGGGCTAGCGGTTCTGATCATAACCCCTTCATCTTTTTTCATTCTTCTGTATCTTTGCTCTCCTTTTTCTCAGGGTTGTTTGTTGGGAGGTTTCTTCCTTTACCTTTGTCTTTTGTCTCTGCTTTTCTGGCTTTCCATTTTCGGTTACAATCATCATTCTCTGAGACTGCTTCCATCCCCACCCCCCTCATTTTTCACCCCTCCTTCACAGAAAGCTAATCTTGATCCATTACCAAATCCCATGGAAGGAATGCATAACGGACCGGATTCAACGATCAAGTCGACATATATTCTCAGTTGCGTAACTGGGTTCTTCGTAGTCCGAAAAAAATTGTACAACGTAACCCTAAAGATTTACCTAGCGACAATGTGTGTTTAATACATCCATTATACACCGAGTTCGCAAACAGGTCTGCAAAAAACTACCATAATGGTATTTGGAGTTCTGGGACATAGACAAAAGGCACATCATTGACTTGAAACAAGATATTAAAACATAATTAAGGGACAATAATGAATATATAGTGATAGTGCAACTGGGGATGATTTTGAAAGCTACAACTTTCTACTGTTTTACGTGCATGAAATGAATGGAGTTTTCACAACTTTTATGGGATGGTTATGGAGGTTAATGATGATTGATGAGAGGTTGTTTTTGGGGTGTGCCTTTTCCTATATAGCTGTTCTTTTTCGTGGAATATTATGGAGAATTGGGCAATAGCATGCAAAATCCCATGATTGATGTTGTATCAATTTGCAACAGTCTAGATTTTATGTGTTGGAGTAGTATATTAGCCTCTTTCCCCTTTTCTTTGTCGACTAATGTTAAGTGGGTGTGGCCGAGTCTCCACCGATTGTTGGCGCGCACACAAACCTGCAACTGATAATCTCATCGATTCTTCTTTCCTTTGCTTTGATTGGATTTTTTTTTTTTTTTTGCTTTTGTTGCTTAGAGGGTTAGGTAGTGTTTGGGAGATGGTTTTGTAAGAAACGATCATACGTGGGTGGCTAGGACTGTCAAAATCAAAGCAAAGAATACGAACATCGAGTTTAACGTGGTTTCCCTGATCAACAGGACTAGTCCACGGGAGAGGCAGAGCTCTCCAAGTCAATCTTATTGCTTTGTTACCAGTACACACGTGAGATACAAGTATATATACAGAGGTTCGATTAACCCTAATGACTAAGGACTTATTGTACAATTACAAACTGATACTTATATTTTCAACACCCTCCCTCAAATTGATGTTGGGTGCGCAACATCAATTTGGCTGATAAGTACCAATGTCTGCTGGATGCTAATGCCTTAGTCAATAGGTCTGCAGTCTGATCATCAGTGGACAAATGATACAGCTGTATTCTCCCTTCTGCGACCAGCTGTCTAATGTAGTGAACGTGAACATCTATGTGTTTCGTCCTGTCATGTAGTACTGGATTTAATGCTATCTGTATGGCGCTTGTATTATCGCCAAACAGTTTCATGGGAATGTGACAATCAACTCCCAATTCACCTAACAGACGTTGCAACCACACCATTTCTGAACTCACTTCAGACATGTATCTATACTCTGCTTCTGTTGACGATTTTGAGACCCGCTCCTGCTTCTTACATGTCCACGAGACAAATGACTTTCCTATGCGTATACACCACCCTGAAGTAGAATGTCTGGTGTCTTGACATCCAGCATAATCCGCGTCTGCATATGCCTCCAACACTGCATCTCCTCCGACTGGAAAGAACATCCTTGCATCCTGAGTATGCTTGAGGTACCGAAGAATCCTGTGAACAGCATCCAAATGCTGAACTCGGGCCACTCCTAGGTACTTACTCACAACTTGTACAGAATAAGCGATATCCGGCCGAGTATGAACCAGATATATAAGACTCCCTACAAGACTGCGGTATAGTGATTGGTCTTCTATCAAATCTCCACTATCCTTTCGTAATTTCAAATTCTGTTCCATAGGAGTCGAGCAAGGTTTACAGTCTGTATACTGTGCAGTCTCAAGAAGATCAGCAATATATTTCTTCTGTGAAACAAAGATACCTTGCGTTGACCTCTGTACCTCCAAGCCTAGGAAGAATGACACGTCTCCAAGATCCTTTAAGTTAAAAGCTTTATGCAGAGAAGCCTTTAACTCCTGTATTCCTGCAGAATCACTTCCTGAGATGATCATATCATCCACATAAATCAACAAAAACACCACTCCTTCAGTCGTGTTCCTTATAAAGAGAGATGGATCGTTTTGACTCTGTTCAAACTCCAACTGAACTATAGTACTGTGAAATTTTTCAAACCAAGTTCGTGGGGCTTGTTTGAGGCCGTAGAGAGATCGAACCAGCTGACAAACCATGTCGGAAGACCCTTTTGTATAGCCTGGTGGCCTCTCCATATAAATAGTCTCTTTAAGGTCTCCATGTAAGAATGCATTCTTTACATCTAACTGTAAAAGCGGCCAACCTTTCATAGCAGCTACAACAAATATACAACGAACAGTTTGCATCTTTGCAACTGGTGCAAACGTTTCATCATAATCAATGCCGTATTCTTGGAGAAAACCTCGAGCGACTAATCTTGCCTTGAATCTCTCTATTGTGCCATCTGGGTTCATCTTTATTGTATATATCCATCTACATCCAATAACTGACATACCTGGCTATCTAAGAACCAACTTCCATGTACCATTTGCATCTAAAGCCTCTGTTTCCTCTACCATAGCAAGATTCCATCTTGGGTCATTACAAGCTTGTTCATAAGTTGATGGAATAAAGCACGGTTCAGCAGCATACCCTTCATAGTCAAGAAGACGGACCGGAGGCTGACCCAAATTTGCCATGTTTGATCTACGGGGCTGCTGCGGTTCATTTTCAACTTCAGCCAACGAATGACTATTATTTCCAGAATCAGTACTCCCACAATCACCCGATGACGAACTCGACGTAGAACTTGGGTTACCTGTCGAGGAGCTATCTCGACTTGAGCTGCCCGCTAAGGAGTTGTCCCTCCCTGAGCCCGAGCTATTTGAGTGGGACGACGAAGTACTCGAGCTCGGCGACGAAGAAGTGGACGACGTCGCCGACAATGACTCCGAATCCATCCCTCCCTGAGTTCCCAGCGGTTGGATCGGGTGGGAATCAAACCCAGGCAGCGACGTTAACCAATCAAGGCGATCGGTGGCCGAGAAATCACTACCATGCTCCGAATGAGTGCTTGAATAGTACATAGTGTTCTCAAGGAAGAACACATGGTAGGAAATACGCATTCTTTTTCCAACGGGATCATAGCAACAGTAACCTTTATGTCGATCACTATATCCCAAGAACACACACTTGACCGCCTTTGGAGCAAGCTTATGTCGATCCTTGCGGGGTAGAAGAACAAAACAGGTGCAGCCGAAGACCCGCAAAAAAGTATAATTGGGAGACCGAGAGTATAAAAGCTGATAAGGAGAGCTCTGTTCCAGCACCGGAGTAATCTGACGATTTATGAGATAAACAATGGTGTGAACTGCCTCCACCCAATAGCCACTCGGAACATGGGAGTGAAACAACAGAGCACGAGTGAGCTCAAGAACATGCCTATGTTTGCGTTCCACCAAGCCATTTTGTTGTGAAACACCCGGACACGAAAGCTGTGAGACGATTCCTTCTGCTTTGTAGAAGTTCAACAATTCCTTCTGATACCATGTCAAAATCAAAGCAAAGAATACGAACACCGAGTTTAACGTGGTTTCCCTGATCAACAGGACTAGTCCACGGGAGAGGCAGAGCTCTCCAAGTCAATCTTATTGCTTTGTTACCAGTACACACGTGAGATACAAGTATATATACAGAGGTTCGA